ACACTGATGAAGCGGAGACAAAGAATCACCCTGGGGCTGGCTCTTCTCTAATGGCCACCTCCAGCTGCCACACTGACCCTCTTTTTAGAATCATTTGAGTCAGCTTTTCCAAGCCTAAACAAGTAATTTCACAAAATGGGGTCTCTTTCAGCATGATGCAGTAGCTTCTTCGAAATGGAATTTCTGTATAGGCAGAGAGTAACTCCAGGGCTAAGCTTGGCTTGTTACTACATACCTGGGTTTCAGATGTCCTAAGTATGTTACATATGCTTGGGGAAATGCTTTTCTCATTTCTTTACAATGTATTATTGTAGCACATATTAATTGTCCAATGTGAAGGATTTCATTGCCATAGTTCCACGCATGTATCTAATATACTGTAATGCTACTGCTTCTTTCTTTCCACAATTCTAAGGGAGGGGGAGTTTCAGGGATCTCTGTACCTCATCCTCCCCTTAAGCCCTGGGTCCGAGTCTGAGCTGTGACAAGCTCTCTTGAAAGCATGGGAAGTGTGGTGAGCAGAGTTTGAGGTGCGTTTGGCATGACAGTGCTAAGCAATCAAAATGAACCTTGCTTGATTTATCAATATTTGGGGGATTTTATTTGTGTGGGGTTAGCAAGAAGTCATAGTGAGAAAGCATCTCAGTGAAAGCAAAAGTGTATAAACCCTGTCATTTGAAATGATCTTTTTCCTGCATGCTGACTTCCTAAGATAGCTGACCATGGGAACCCTGGAATCCAATCGCCTCAGGCGGCGGCATCACTCTCCTACTCCTCTGTGTCTTGGCTCTTCACTCACAAAACTGATAATAAAAACAACTCCCCGTGTGTTTGTTTTGAGGATTAACTGTGCCTGACACTGCATGAGTATTCATAACCATTCATTTTTCATATCATTGTTGTCTTTATCTTTTGTTGTTGTTGGTGGTGGTGGTAGGACTTGAGTTCTGGGCCTGGGCGCTGTCTCTCAGCATTCCAGTTCAAGGCGAGCGCTCTACCACTTGTGCCACAGCGCCACTTCCGGTTTTCTGGTGGTTTTATTGGAGATAAGAGTCTCACAGACTTTCCTGCCCGGGCTGGGTTTGAACAGCAATCCTCAGATCTCAGCCTCCTGAGTAGCTAGGATTACAGGCCTGAGCCACTGGTGCCCAGCTGTTGTCTTTATCTCATGCGTGCGTAGCTTTGCCATGCTCTATTTTCTCTAGGCCAGGGGCAACTTCCAGTTTTCAGGCTTTTCCTTTGCCCCAGAAAGCAGAGTCCCTGCCTCACATCTTGGGAGTCAGCCTTCTGTTCCATGGCTAGCTTCAGCTCTTGCTTCTCCGGTAACTCCCAAGGCCCATCTCTCACCAGGACCAGTCAGAACTTCCTTTGCCCTGTGGGCAACTATCATGTTTCTGTGAAGTGTCTTTGCCAACTTCCTCCCCAGCCATCCTCAGCCATTACTTGTATATGAGATATATATATATATATATATATATGTGCATATATATATATATGTGCATATATATATGTGCATATATATATGATCTTTTATGATTCCTATCTTGTTATCTTTATACTCATTACATACCTATCTGTCATCTAGTAGATGGATACCAACCTTACTCATTCTAGATCCCCCATGGCTGCAAAAGCCCCAACTCAGGTAGGTGTCAGTGATTTTTTTGTTGCTATTTTTCTTTTTTCTTTTTCTTTTTGTCGGTCATGGGGTTGAACTCAGGGCCTGGGCACTGTCCCTGAGCTCTTTTTCTCAAGGCTAGCATTCTACCGCTTTGGGCTACCGCTCCACTTCCAGTTTTTGAGTGGTTAATTGGAAAAAAACAGGGACTGTTCGGCTTGGGCTGGCTTCAAACCATGATCCTCAGATCTCAGCCTATTTTTCTATTCCATTTTTTACATTGTGTGTCTAGATTATTGTTAACCATCTCCCTCTGGCACTATTCTCTGATGTGCTCTCTCTCAATTTTTTATTTTTACTTTTTGTCAGTCCTGGAGCTTAAACTCAGGGTCTAGGCACTGTCCCTTAGGCTCCAGGCCAGCACTCTACCACTTGAACCACAGCATCACTTCTGGCACACTCTCTCTCTCCCTCCTTCCCTCCCTCTCTCTCTCCCTCCTCTCCTGTTTCTCCCCTCTCTATATCTTTCCTTCTTTCCTAACATCTATTTTGGGCACTACTGAGGTTTGAACTTAAGGCTTGTGCTTGCTGATAGGTGCTCTATGACTTGAGCCTTGATGCTTTATCTTAAGTTATTTCATATCACTGTGTTTCCAAATGCCTATTATTTCCTTTGGACTGCCATGTTGTTTAAATGTTCATACTTAAATTTTCTAAGCACTGTATCCTATCTCAAGTATTTGCATTTTGATTTTCCCAAGACACCCATTCTCCCCCACCTCCCTGCAAAAAAAAAATAGTAATCCTAGTCTTGCAAATGCATACTTCTTTCTTTGCTCTTGCTAAACTCCTACCTAACCTGAAGTGCTCTCCTTTCTCCCCCCCCCCCACACTACCATTGGAACCCCACTGTCTTATTCAGCAAGCCTTCTCCTGCCATCAGTCTTTATTAGTCTTTCTAGGCTCTAACTCTAATAACTCAGTCTTGAAAGTGTATAGGCCTAGGCCACAATCATTCTTCTAGCAACAAAATAATGTTCTATGAAAGCAATATCACTTGAAGATGTGTTTCACTGCAAGTAAAGGAACCCAATCCAACTTGGCATAAACAATGAAAGAAAAGTGTTAGCTCATGCAACTGAGAATTTAACACTATTACCAACAACTAGTTTTCTTTTTTTTTTTTTGGTCCGGTTGTGGGGCCTGAACTCTGGGCCTGGGCGCTGTCCCTCAGCTCTTCAGCTCAAGGCTAGCACTCTACCACTTGAGCCA